ATCTTATGCAGCAAGTTCACCTTCTCGATGATTGTCTTTCCATGGAACAACTCGGTAAAATTGACATTTGCCAGATGTGCATTCATGTCCCTGTAGTTGGCCCGTTTGAAATTGAATGCTTTTGTTGTAATATTGGCTTCAGTCGTATTATTTCCATGCCACTCAAATGTAGCCATTATCGGTAGATGATGATCTTCCACTTCCGTCAGTGCGTTAGCCTCGTTAACACGCTCAATTGAGATGTTGGTAAAATCATTAGTAAAGAACAAGTCCAATAATCGTTCTTTTGAATCATTACGTACATGATGAACTCCCATGCTCATGAGTCCCTGGATGAAAGTGGCCGTGTACTCAGGTGCAAATTTAGTTGGAATCATGATGTTGTCGTCGTCGCTATCGGTTGACCATTCCACATGTGGCAGATTAAAATCACCAACAAAAATAACAAAATCTTCAGGATCGGTAGCGATTTTGTGCATAGCTGCTAAATGTGAATCGTAGACTGTTTGCGGTGAATTTGGTGGAATGTATGCACAGTAGATGTAGATGTCGTGTGATTTAGTAGTAGCTTTCACACAAACGTATTCCAAATGGTCAGCACCGGCAATTTTAATCTCTTCACTGGCAAACTTTTCGTTTTTGGTTGCAATTAGTACACCGCCGCCACGTTGAAAAAGTCTATCCTTACGAAAAACAGAATATGAATCGTCAAAAAATTCAGCATCATAAATATCATTTCTGAGCCACGTTTCAGTTAAAATTATCATATCGTGATCGCAGGAAGCAGTGGTACAAAAGAAGCGTTTGTGTTTGTTGCATATGCTACGACAGTTTTGGTAATAGATTGTACACAAAACGCAGTGTTCATCCGATGTGCATGACTCTAGTTGCAACATCGGCGATGAAAATCGTGACGATTTCCTTCGTAGTGACCTGTGCAGCCGTTGTGCTGTCTCTTCACGACGGGTTGAGGCTGAGCTTTTTTGGCACAAATTCGGCTGGTTGCGTTGGCGCCGACCCCTCCGTGGGCGCTGCAGTGGCCGTTTGTTGCAATGCCGGTTCGATGCATTCATTGCCGGTTCCAACCGTTGAGTTTTCACTGTGCCAATGGAGTTTTTTGAATTTGGATGAGCGGGCTTTGGTTTCAAATTTTGTAGTTGCGACCGAATTTGTTGGTTGTCATGAGTTTTGGGACGGTTTGCCGGTGCAGATGACTTCATAGACTTGACCTGAAATTCGGTGGCTTTGATTTTCTTGGGCCAAATACCTGCAGGCTATTACCTTGTCAAAGTGTTGGCGAAGAACATCGAGTTTGAATGACACAAATGACAACTCCATTTTGTTGTCTTTCTTTACGAGCTTGGTTATTTTGAAATCACTTGTCAATGGTCGGACGGTTTCAATGCTATTCAAGTGATTAATAATGTCGGCAGGTAATAATAACAAGTAAACAGAACGAAGAAAAACTTGAAGAAATTATACACTGAAAACTGTACACAAAAATAAATTTCGAACGAAAACTTTATATTGCTGAGGTAAAACAGGACTTAAACTTTTAATTTGATGTAAAATATCATATAATGAAGACGAAAAACAATTTAAAAACAAACAAATTTGTTGAAAATAGAGGGAGAGAAAAAAAGTAGACGTCTAATTTGACAGGTGTTGCCATGATTTATGGTTTATAGGGGAGAGGTTTGTAAGTTGACCATGTATCCTTGATATTTTCATAACTTTTCGAAAAATCGAGATGTCGTAGATTTTGAAATACCGTTGGAAAGAGGACCTCAAAAGCTACAACTTTGCAATAGAAAGTTATTTGGTTTAATGGAAAATGAATTTTTTTCAGCCGATTTTCCAAGTGGCTTGAAATCGAGAAAAAAAAAATGTTGGCATGTAAGTTGACCACCCCCTGAAAATCTCTGAAAATGTAAAGAATATTGAGTGCAAACACTCCAATTACAAAATTGATGGAATTTTATTGAATGTTCATTAGTTTTATTGGCTTTGAACACAGAAATAACGGAAAAAAAATCACAAAAATGCCACTAAAATACCATTACAATACCACTAAAATAACACAAAAATACTTTAAAGTTGATCCGATGTCAATTCTAAACATTCAACAAGTATGAACATGTTGTCGGCATGTTTACACAGTAGAAAACATGGGTGGTCAACTTACAAGTCCAAAATGTGGTCAACTTACATTTTTTGATGACTTTGCTAAATGAATCAGAATTTTTTCCATGCCACCAAATGCTTGATTTGAGATCGGATTATGAAAATACATTAAAAACTGCTATGTTAAGATCATACTCACTTTTCGATAACGATCAAAATTGTTCGCTTTACGATGACAGGGAAATGAACGAAGTTTAATTATTTTATCCAAGAAAATATACGGTGTTCGTATGACTAATACACGATGCGTCTTTTCACTCGGAAACCACACTAAAATTGAAGTCTGCTGTTTTAATGACGTTGACAGTTCAAACTCTGACGTTTCTACTGTCAGAAATACGAAATACCATGGGGTGGTCAACTTACATGCATGGTCAACTTACAAACCATTACCCTATATCTGGGAAAACTCTGTTTTTCGAGATACAGCCATTAGAAGTTAAAAAAAACATGAAAAATCGACAAAAATCAACAAAAATCAACTAAAACTCTTTTTTGTTGCCATTAACAATTGCAAAATCATAACCAAAGTGTATTTGCGTTCAAATGAATAAAATTCCTTCAGATACCAGCCCCTCGCCAAGTCTTTTTATTCCACGCAATCAACAAAAAAGTACTTTTCATGAAAAAATCAAAATCAAAATCAGAAAAATTCATCATGAAAAAACTAAACATGTGATAGTTTCTTAGTATAAAAGCGATATGTACATGCATTAGTGCCGCGAATTGTTTCAATATTTCGATCTTGGCATCTTGTCATTGGCATTGGCCATCTTGGCCAGAGGTTGGTTGCAGATAAATTTATTTATATAAATTTCAAATATCAAATAAATTCTTCCGAAATTTTCATGCGTTGTGTTGTTCTGACGCATTTGCAGTATATAAACGAGACATCGGCTGTTGTATTGGCAGCCAGCTATTCATCGCAGGAATGAGATTTTTGGTTTGTTAATTTACCGATATCTGTAAACAAGTCTGCCACTGTGTCATATATTCCATAAGAAATGTGCAGAGACGAAAATGTTCGCCATTTAGTTTTACATTGCCAATACATTAGTTATGGAGATTTTTATTTTGTTTATTTTTTGTCGTTTGTAAACAAATCTGCATATCTTTTTGCATTGTCTCTACACATTTCTTAGGGACATATACTACGTACAGTGGCAATGTACGTATGTGCAACCAACCTCTGATCTTGGCATTGGCCGGCCTTTGAAAATTTAAAAAATGGCCTTCCTTTCATTGGCTACTGTGCCCACACCCAGTCTAGTCAACCGATATCAGACTTTTGCGTATCGTTGGAAAGTTTTCGAGGCCAGCTATCAAATGGCACCTATTTGAAGATGAAAAAATTGAGTTGGCATGGTCTTATGAACACAAACTCAAAAAATGGTCACTTAGCCTTCTGGCCAAGTTTTTTCGAGATATGACCCTTAAAAGTTGTAAAAAACATTAAAAATCGCAGAAAATTGAAAAAACGTCATTTTCCTGGCGTAGTTGCGGGCGCTACAGTAGTTAAAAATTGATGAAAATTAACTTACGTTGATATCATTGAAATTTCTCGAGATGACAGCCCTTCACAAAGTCTTTTTATAATTTATATCATAATATCAAATTATGGAAAATGGAATTTTTTCTTGAGATTTTAAATTTATTACGTTCATAGTCAAATGTGTGAAAGAACATAGGCCATACCCCAATTGCATTAACAAAAATCCTTACAAAGTCGAGAAAACAGTGAAAGGTTTGTGACATTACACTAGCGCCAACGAATAAATGCAATGACAGATACGGCCGAATTCGTAACTACTTTTCACCATAAACGCTGAGGTGAAAAGAGCTATCAGTTAATCAGTATGAAGAATGGAGGCCTGCCTCAGTATTCTCATTAGAAACTCATGTCTACAAATAGGAAGAAAGATTAAGTATTGGTCAAGTAGTTATTGCAATAGTAAAAAAAAAAGTGAAATTCAATTGAAAGTTGATGTCAGTGATTTACGCGCTCTGAATTTTTATATTAGTTACACTGTTCGGTGGATTTCTTCAACAAAGAAAATGTGTCTGCTGAAGCAGGCCTTATATAAAATTTCCAGTTTTTACACGTAAAAGTCTTTCTGATTAAAAAAAAGTGTCTAATTTTTAGTTCTGAAGAATGCTTGTATTTATTGCAACAAAAGAATAAACTATTAAATAATGAGTTAATTATTACTCAGACCAAATGAACAAGCAGGTGGTGAATTTTTGCGTGGTAAAACTGGAATACTGAAGTATTTGACAGGTCATGAAAATAGTTCAAAATTATACCACGCGCGTCACTGCTGTGCTGCAAACCGGATGAAAACGGAGTATGACATAGGCTAGCTGTTAATCTTATTGCAAAATTCTATAACAAAACAGCTGATATAAAATAAAAAACTTTCCCAGAGTCAATGCTCGTGCCGAAAGCGAACACAAAACGTGTGATATCAATTTTAAAAAATCATTTCGGAGCGATTTTAATTCGCCTATTTTGCATTCATCCAACTATCGCTCCGAAATGTTTTTTTAAAATTGATTATTACTTGACACGCATTTTCCAGGTAACTTATTGGTATTTGGTATACGGTGACACTTGTATGACATTTAGGGCAAGAAAATACTGAAAATCCATCAATTTCACCTTAATCGATTAAAACGGGAGGATACACTTCCCCGCCATAAGGAGAAGAAGCAAAATGATCTACAACAAATTTGTTCCTTTTGAGTCTCCGAACACGGAACACCGAATTCCTAGAGCTGCCGACCAGAATCTACAACTACTCAATGTTTGAGCCAATTAACTACATGCTCATCACATATAATGAATTTTATAAATACTTTAATATCATAGAGCCAAATCAAACGAATGATTGTGATACTAGTACTATTCCAAAAATATATAAAACTTATTTAATTGATTTTAATGTTAGCACAAACACTGTCAAGCAAAGAATAACTGATTATTTTAGAAGAAATAGAACTTGGAGAGACTGAAAATACGAATTCATTATAAATATTGTAAATATATAACCAAATATTTATACCAAATAAACCACCTCTGGCGAAGAAACGCTGTATGGTGCAGAATAATAATAATAATAGTCGCTCAAACCTGATTTTCATCGTCGCCCTTCAAACACCCATTTTTGGGGTACCCAAAGGGTAGCACCACCTAACACATACACCATTGTGCAGCACTAGTCATTAGCCAAATAATGACAAATAAATTTGATGATTTCGGCAGGTGTCCCTAAGTGAAGTTAAGCCTGAATATAATAAACTAAAAACGAATTCGTGAACATTTTCCGGAAAATCGCCATAGAAGGAAAATAGAAGATCGGGGAAAATTGAGACAAGTTCTCATTCGATCGGGCAGAAAATTTCATCGAGTTGGTAGCCTGTGCCGGTATTCTGGAACACAATCCGCAAAAATCATGCGGAATTATTTCGAACGTTCAATTGGATTTTTGAAGGTAGAGAGTAAACGTTCAATCATCGATCCAACTACAAAACATTCTATTTTTGAATTGAACGTTTTATTTCTACTTCTAAAAATCCAATTGAACGTTCGAAATAATTCCGCATGATTTTTGCGGATTGTGATCCAGAATACCGGCACTGGAGGGCGGAAAAATATGCGTAGAATGCTTCATTTTCGTGATATTGCTAAAAAAAATGGCTTTATACTGAAAAAATCAGTATATATAAAGGAAGAATTCGGTAGCTTTATACTAGTACGTATTTTAAAAAATCATCAAGAGCATTTCGTAGCTGAAGGATCAAGCTTTAAAATGGTACCTAACACTTGGCCAAAAATATATTTTTGTGAGATCTGATACGGTGTGCGGTCACCACAAATTTACACAAATTTTAATATATAAATATGAAATTACCTGAAATGGAATATACCAGCATAGTTTTCATCAAAACTTTGGTCATCCGGTACGACCCGGAAGAACATTTTCGGATCCTGTGTTAATGTAGCGGTCGCAGCTAACAACCAACAATCACCTAATTCGCCTTGTTGTACATCAAATCGAGAATAGCCTTCCACAAAAAATTGTGGATTTTCAGCGATTTCATGCGGTCTTAACCATTCCACATGACGATCCATTCGTCTAGAAAATTGCAGCGAAGTATCAATTGCTGGAAACTCAGGGTCCTCAAAAAGCATTCCATTTTCCAAGCAATAGTTACGTAAAGTATTGAAATCTTGAACGTCTCGAGTATGTGTTCCACTGCCTCTTTCCCCCAGCTTTATTAGAAACGAATACGTATAAGTCAATGCATACAATTTAATATCAATCGGACTAATCTTTAATTTATTTACGGTCAATTTATTTTCTTTGCGATAATTTTATCCTATGATTAAAAATTATTTTTCTACCAAAATACCGAAATTTTTTAACAAAATTCTCACTTTTTAAGGTGTGAATCAATGTGGAATTTCATTCCCGTTCTTACCGGCGCCAAAAGTATGAAAAACCAACACAGTAAAGCGCAATGGTAATAAATTCAGCAAATCCAAAACCGTTCAGAGTTCAGTTTGCATTGCTTTTGTACCTATCGGAAGATCACTGACTTGAATCATGAATGACGTTTATCTAAGGGTCTCAGATGAGAAAATCGCTAATCGGGGAAATTTTCGGGGAATTCAGTTCAAAATCGGGGAATTTGTCTTCTTTTTTTTAAACAACTATTTTTGTAGTTATTAGCGAAATATATCCCAGAAAAATTATATTTTGAAGTATACAGCCGTTGACAACTAATAAGAAACGGGGGTAAAATTTCGATTTGTTTTCATTCATTTCAAATATTTTGATACCACTGAACAAAAAATCTATCGGCGTGAATATTTGAAGTTTTTTTACGCCAACTATGGTTATGGTTCACTTTTTGTTTTTGAAGAAAATATACGTTTGTTTTATCAAAATTTCCAAAAAATGTGGAGCAGCTAATTAGAAACGCATATACATTTGTAGTTATGTAAAACAATTCAACAAATGTATTCAAAAATCGAAAAATTGTGAGAAAAAAAATCTCAACTATATCGAGAAGTACACAATTTTCCAACTTGTGTTCACATTCTATCAAAATTTATCACTTTCTCAATTGGAGGTTGTCTCATTTTCAAAATATTCATAGATTTTCCGGCATTCACTCTTGAAATAAATGAAATAGAAACGAATCGAAATTTTAGTTCCATTTCTGTATGCTGCATGACATAAAAAATTTAAATATCCATAACACATTTTTTTTGCGCAAATATTTTTTTTCGGGGAATCGTGAAATCTCGCCGGGAATGATGTTGATTTTCGGGGAAATTCCCCGGATTAGACAATGGCCAAAGTGTTTAATTGGATTCGAACAAAACTGAACCAAATACAAAATCAAAGACACAAGAAAGAAGGGAAAAAACCTCACACTGTTCATCGACCACTACGCTGTCATACACAAGCACTCCAAAGGCGTCAGACGAGACGATTGCGTCTGTAAATGGTCCAAAACGGTCGATTAAGGATCGGCTGGGCGACGCCCAGTGGGCGTTAAAAACGCCCAAAACCAATCCAGAAAGACTATTTCTGGACCAAACACGGACTCACAATCATCGTCAAAACGCACACGTGGTAAGACAGACGATGCAACACCTGAATCTGCCGCGGGTAGCAACTTTAAACGTAAAGACATGAAACCAACGCCTGTTCAGAGCAATATACCAAATGAAGATGAAGAATTCGAACCATCGTTGGTCATGGCAGTCGTGCAAGTGCACGATGACGTCATGCACCCGATGGAAAAAACACAATTCGAAAACATTTTTGCTGCGATGAACATAATTATGTACGAGCAATTGGATTCTGGTGCTGGATGGATGCCGACATTTCATTACACATGTTTTACACGTGGAGTAGTGAAAGTTGTCGGCACCACAGCTACCGCAAGTGATTGGCTCGTTAGTATTGCCGACAATTTGAGTGAGAAGGTGTGCGAATTCAGCAAGATTCCACACCCGACAACATTTCTGGTCTTCTTTCCATATTGTCGGCAGGACAGTGGATGTTTGCTCTGCATGTTAAATGCATGCAATTCAACACTTCGGGATCTCAGATGGAGCATTGCCCGCCGTAAAGACTCGGATAAGGGCACTCATCTGTTGGTCAAAGTGAATGATAAGATCAAAAATATAACTGTTGGCAACAACAATTCATTGCATTTCGGTTTGGGCTCGGCTCTTCTTAAAGAGCTTGTACCTAAATCTCAGCCGACAATGAAAGCCCCTACTCACCAAACGGTGAGTTTTACTGTAAACACTCATGCGTCAGACGATGATGAAGATGATCTCGACTCAGAGATGCTACAAATATTTAAAGACGACAACGATTCGACAATGAGAGCCACACCATCAACTTTGTTGAGTGGAAACGGCACTCAAAGTCAATCTGGTGTGTTCATTAAACCATCCGTTCTTGGTGATGCCTTGGCACACAAAGACAGTCTTAAACAAGACGAGTCTTTGGTAGCGCCAACATCTGAAATCAATTTACCAAATACTGTAAAGGATATAGGAATGGCTGAGGGCGACGAGATGGACACAGACCAAGGCAAAGCCCATGGTCTGGCAGCTCTACCCGAAAAATAGTGTATGTTATAGTTATCAATTTATACGTTCATTGATTAGCATACTCAATTGAAGTTTCATTCACACAGCTTTCAACCATTTCAAAACGAAAATATTAATTGATTATTGAGGATGACATTGAACTGTCAAACAGTAAACAACACTTTTTTTCAGCTCTGTAAATTTCCAAATTTTATTTACAATTATTTATTGTTTAAATTATTTTTTTGTGATTAACTCAACTAAAATGAAATTTTGAATGATAATTTCATCGAGAACATTGAAGTTTTAGTGAATAACTCGAGTTTAATTGCAAAATAACACAAGACAATAAACATAATCAACGATACATAACGTATATGAGGCTGTGAGAATGAAAATGGCAATACAGGAATAAACATTCTGAAACGAAACATAAAACAGCAAACACGCAAAAGTGAATCATGGATGTTTGAGCAGCAGCAGTGAACCATGAGTATCCGTACGTGTGCGTAAATTCATGATTTGCTTCAACACAGCGCTCATTCAAGATTCACTTTTGAGAATTTTCTTTCTTAGCGGCACTTCAGTAAATATTTTTGTGACGTTGCGCATTTGTTTGTTTTCTTTCCATGGGTCGGTTTTAAAAAAATGTTATTCATTTCCAAACTCACCGTAGTTTTAATTCAATCCAGACAAAATATATTATTTCAAATCATAGACCTTGATTTGCGTTAAACAAGAGTATTTATTTTGTTAGTTTGGAATACAGGAGTAATAAAATATCTGTGGACTTTAGAAATCGTGTTTCACTTTAATTGAAGCAAAAATGTTCGATACACTTTCAAGTCCATTGGAATGATGATTCATTGTAATGGTGGTTTTGGTTGTGATTTGGCTTCGGAGTGAAAATTAAGTGATAAGGAGTGCGAATTTCGATGTGCCGATAATACCATTGGATTGGGCACATGAAATACTGTATGAGAATCGAAAAAAACAATTTAACTTTTTTTTCGATTTTTGCCTGTTTCCGATCGTCTACATGGGAAGTTTGTATGAAAACCTCGGAGCGCCGGTGTTTTACCCGTAATGTTATACACATCAACGAAGCAGTCTGCTTCACCGTAGAAAAGAAGTGCGCAGTAAGAAAACAAGAACGTACAGGTTTCGGCAACGTTGCATTATAGCGAATATGAATGAACGTAATGAGAAATGTAACGAGAAATTACGTTCATACAAACTTCCCATGTAGACGATCGGAAACAGGCAAAAATCGAAAAAAAAAGTTAAATTGTTTTTTTCGATTCTCATACAGTATTTCATGTGCCTAATCCAATGGTATTATAAGCACGTCGAAATTCGCGCTCCTTATCACTTAATTTTCACTCCGAAGCCAAATCACAACCAAAACCACCATTACAATGAATCATCATTCCAATGGACTTGAAAGTGTATCGAACATTTTTGCTTCAAATAAAGTGAAACACGATTTCTAAAGTCCACAGATATTTTATTACTCCTGTATTCCAAACTAACAAAATACATACTCTTGTTTAACGCAAATCAAGGTCTATGATTTGAAATAATATATTTTGTCTGGATTGAATTAAAACTACGGTGAGTTTGGAAATGAATAACATTTTTTTAAAACCGACCCATGAAAAGAAAACAAACAAATGCGCAACGTCACAAAAATATTTACTGAAGTGCCGCTAAGAAAGAAAATTCTCAAAAGTGAATCTTGAATGAGCGCTGTGTTGAAGCAAATCATGAATTTACACACACGTACGGATACTCATGGTTCACTTCTGCTGCTCAAACATTCACGATTCACTTTTGCGTGTTTGCTGTTTTATGTTTCGTTTCAGAATGTTTATTCCTGTATTGCCATTTTCATTCTCACAGCCTCATATACAACAGTGTAAACAAGGAAGAAGAAAAAACACATCACGATGGAGACTGGACATGATTGCAAAACAAAAAAGTGTGATGGTTCATTATTTCAGGGTGAATACCTGAGATGTTTTCTATGTAAAAACGCTATTTTCATTGAATGTATGACTAAGTGTGAATTTGCTCGTGAATTATTCTGTGCATTTGATTTGATTGACAGTAGCTCAGTAAACAAAGAGAAAATTGACAATGTTATGAAGCGGTATAAACGTTTTTTCGAAATCGGAACATCAAATTGTTGGACCTATTTTTCACTAACGACCATGCCAACACAACAGTGAGCGATGCTATTAAACTGTCATTGACGAATAAAATCGACATTCACCACCCTCCTTTGTTGATTGAATTTGAATGGCATCCGATTAACAATGGTTCTGAAAACCAGAATAACACGCATTTCAACTTCAAACGGGCTGATTATCAGCGCATGAACGAATATTTTGCTGCCGTCAACTTCGATGACTTATTCGCACACAAATCACTTGCGGAGAAGGTGTCATCCCTTCATGACGTGTTAGCGGAAGCTATTCAGTGTACGGTTCCAACGTATGTCCGCAAAAACAACCAAAAATGCCCATGGAAAAACAAAGAACTTCGGCATCTCAAGAATTTAAGGAAAAAAGCCTGGGATTACTGGAAGCTGACCAATGACAAGCGACCATTTGAAGAATTACACTAGGAATTCAATGCAAAAAACACTGAAC